GTTTGGGTAGCTAAAAACAGAAATTACATGGAATGGACTTTTTGTAAATAGGCTTACAAAATAGCAGTTGAGGAGTATTTAGTATTTCACTGCATATTAAAACACAGTTTTTACATCCCTTGGAGACTGCCAGGTCATTTAAAGAAAAAAGGAGCTCTAAAGAATTGTGATATGACTTGTAAAAAATACCAAGCTTTCTTTCCTCCAAATTTCTTAAAATAAGAAAAACCTTCATTTTTGCGTTCAACTCACTTCATAATTAATCTTCCATGAGCTCCATCTTGCAAAAATTTGAGGATATCTTTCCAATCATTGACAGATCAATATGTTTCAAGGTCAAACCTCAAAGTTCTAAAATAAGAATTTTAGTAATATATTCAGTTTACACTTAATAGTGCTGAATTTTCTTCTTTTCTTATGCACCAACACCTCCAAACTGGATTTTAGAGCATATGCCTCAACAGAAGGTGTGTATTGTAAAGGAAATAAGTGCCATACAGAAGTCATCTGGAGATTTCAGTAGTTATTTGACAAATTATTTAATGAAATTAACCATTCACTATTAGTTTTATATTACTATTTAATGTATAGATTCTAAAAATAAATAGCTTTAAATAGGCTAATTTGTGTACAAAATAATTTAGAAGTACACAGCTTTTCACAGGTTGAATAAGAGACCTCATGGCAAAAATCAGTTTTTGCTGCGTAAGGACTGCATTCCATGTCAGCAGTTAAAATATATAGAGAAAACTACGTAGTAAAACATAAATTGTTAATCTTCTGTTTTCTCATGACAACACCTATCACAGCGTAAGGTATTTATACATATCACTATTTTGTTTAAAGAAAAAGTTATGCATAGAAAGGACTGCAATACTTACTGAGAATAAATATTATGTAGCTTGTCAATTGTAGCTTAAGAAATCTTTTTAAGTAAGATTCCTCTCTTTGAATGAGAGTTCAAAGACTTAGAAAATAAACATAAAAAGAGTTCTCCCCAAGTACTGGTATCTCTTTTTACTATATGAAAGAGCGTAAACCCGTGGGAAATATCGTTGTTAAATATTTTTTTTTTTTTTTAAAAAAAAAAAAAAAAGGAATAAAATACCTTGTATGTTTTTGTTAAATGAAACTGCTGCAAAGTAGCATTCCTTGTGAGAGCCGTCTCCAGCCCCTGTGGCACCCCAGCTGTTCAGTCTTGCAGCCTAATGCTCTTTTTTTCCAACAGACGCTACCCACTTTAGGAGGCTCGCTCCCTGAGGTGCGTAATGCGGGCGCATCCATGTACGCACGAGTACTGATGGATCTGATAACGTGCATTCTTCTTGCTATACAGTGCATTTTGGGGCTGAGCTAACTATCTGAACATGGTGTTCTGTGTTGCCGCTTGAAAGGTCCTGTCTCATTTATCAATTCCTTTTGTCTTATTTAGATGAATAAAGGATAGGCCAAATTAAGAGGCAGTTTTTATTTGACGTGGATCTAACTGGAGCAGTACTGAATGGTGGAAGCTCCATCCTATTGGTTAATGGAAAATGACTTCAGAGTGGGAGTTCAAGAGAAGAAAAGAAGGCATGAGAGATGCAAAAATGTAGAAAAGATTCTCCCTATGATAATAGCTGCTTTGAAAGATATATGTTCTAGTATCTACCAAACAAAAGCTTAATTCTTGGAGCCATCAAAATGTACAATAGCTTTTAAAAATGCTATATTCAGTCAGCTTCATGCATGTCCACCAGAAAAAAAACCTCATAGACCCATTAATCATTGGTATGCTTTTATTAATAAAAATATTAAACATAATGTTATAATTAATTAAAAATTAAAGATATTAATATGGCACAATTTTAGTACAAACTTTTCTTACCTTAAAATACATGTTTGTATTTTGCTTATTTTGAGTGCACATCAGATTCTAACATTAAGTTAGAACTTGTATGCTATTATCCAAAGATGATTTTATTAAATTGTTATTATCTCATAAGGAAATGGCATTGTTTATTTCATGATAATCTTGGATATTTCAAGAATTCCCTAATTCCTGAAATTTATTCAAATAATCATTTGCAACTGGATTAGAAAGCCATCTTTCTATTTCATGTAAAATACAAAATATCTGTATAAAAATATTTACAGGGTAATTTTTATTTAAAATCCTTCATGATGAATGTTTCTTTTGGGTGCCTTTTATAGAAATATTCAGTAGAGAGTTAAGTAGAGAGAGAAGTAGAGAGTTATTTTATTATTTAATATAAACCCTAAGTTAGATTCTCGTAGTTTAACATATATGCAGGTTCCATAATTTTAGGAAATCTAGAATCTCTTATAATCATTTTCACCAATATTTCAAAAACATTACTTTTCATACATGCAGTGGCATATAATGTAGTACCATATATATAGATCATAGGAAATACCTTATTTGTACTTTCTTAAAAAATCCTCATTGGAAGAAATAGGCCCAGTATCCACATAAGATTTTGTACAAATTTCCAGACAATTTTGTATCAAAAAATATGCCTTTTCCATATACTGTGTTATATGTGTGGCCTGATTTTATTGTCTTCTGTATGGCCTGAGTCATTGCATAGGAGAAGCTATATTGGTCTGCAGTGCCAATCCAGTCTTGCTTATGGGACCTGGTAATATAAATTAGGAAAAGAATGCTTGTGAAAGGTGATGCAGCAGTCATAGGACCAGCAGAAGATATTTGCTTCTGTACCTCATCCTGGAATGAATTGAAAAAGCAACAAAACTTTGCTTGAGGTGTTTGTTACTGAGTTTATTTTGTGAATGATTGATAGCAGAAGGTTTGAGCTTTAGGGTACGCATCTTTTATGTAAAGATAGTTCTCAGGAATGTATAAATTGCGTTAAGTAATAGCATGAAATATGAAAGATGTTATTTGGTACCATGTGTTATAAGCAGGCCTCTTTTTAACAATGTTTGGTTTTGTTTTTAAAAACTCTTTCAGCAAGCATCCCCTATGTGCTTAATCTTTTCCCATCTATTATCTTTTTCCTTGAACTATCACAAATATGTTTTTTAACTTTACATTTTTATAGTGTGTAAAGTTCTCTCTCCATCAGTGAGTTTTGTTGAGTCAGGATTTTATATGAGCTATGTGTCTGCATTAATGACAAGCGATTTAGTTTTTGAGTATATTGCAATATTCAGCAGCCAGATTTGTCCATATGACATCATGTAATGCAAATTCCTGTCTAAAGGAATTTTAGACATTCCTGCATTTTAGACTTCCCAGAATTTTAGACTTTCCTGCATTTGCAATGCAAATTCATGTAGTGACTTTTAAGCAATTCATATTAAGAGTAGTTGTTTGCAAAACTGTTTATCCCCCTTAAAAGCTGCTTCTCCATACTTTCTCCATACTGAAGCCACTAACCAGTGCCACAGTGAATTAATGTTCATGTGACATTGCAAATGCTTTTCTGCTTGGATTCTTTGTCCTGGCTCCAGTTTGTAAAAATCATTGAATAAATAAATGCAGATTCTTCTTAAATGCAGAGATGTGGGCAGTGTAGGTCTGTCTGAAGGTTAGGATGAACTAGTTTAACTTATTCTGTAGAGCCTTATCATCTTCTTTATAGATATATTAAAGGTAACTTTCTATTTAAAGCAATATGTAGGCTAGACTGTTATACTTGTCTCTTGAAATGCTCTGGTTATTCAAAGCATTGGCTTGGTTAACTAATCTCTTAGGAATATCACTGTGAATGGGAAATAATGTAGATTCCCCTGCTATTCCATGACATGTATGTGTCAGCCCTTTGTAGGAAATGTGACTGAACTGCCACAGTTCTCCAGAGCACCTGGCTACCCACAGCAGCCTGGGGTGACTCAGAGTACTATTTACCTCTGGACTAGATTGAGGCTGTGTCAGTATTCAAATTTAAGAAAACCAAAGGTAGTGGTGTATTAATGGAACAGTAATACTAGGAGGGCACTGCATTATCTTGAGTTATACTGTTCATCCTGGAGAATCTATGTCAACATTTCTTACCAGTTTAAACTGCTCTAGGAAGAGTGGCATGGATTAATTGCTAGTGAAATCCCCTAGGCTTTATCAGAGGTACCACAGAGATGTGTTTAGCCTGGTACACTGTGCAAATGGTAACATTTAATGAACTGCTTACTGAGTGCAGTTGCAGGGGCTCTACGTCCTTCATGCTCTTTTCTGTTGCTGCTTTAAAAACTTTCACAGTTCTTTGAAATGACCTCACAGCAGTTGAAAATGTGATTGCAGCAACATACTTTTATTTAAGAGCTTTCCTTTTTTCCAATAACCATCTAGCTGTGCTGTATTACTAGTATTAAAAGTTGCCGTCTTCTTACATTTTGATATACTTTCACAACTTCCTCTGGACAGAATATAATCCTTCTGATGCAAAATGCGTATTTTATAAAAAGCTGCTTGAAATATATACCTTTAAAAGGTAGACAGTCAGTTAGTTATGGTACCTTTAGAATAGGTATATTTTACCAAAAGTGACAAAGTGTCTTAGAACAGCCAACTTTTACCAGCATTTTGGACTAGATTTTGATAAATTATTGTATTGGCTGTACTCATCAAATGTTTAAAGATTTTGTATGATTGGCTTTCAAGTTGCAGAATGTCAACCTGCAGTGCTAGATCAATTTCACATCATTGCTTTAATTTATGTTGCGACTGCACACTTTCCATCTGTTTGTTGCCTAGTTGATGTCTAGGCACATAGATAGATCTCAGGCATGGGTAGAGCCCTTCCCATATCTTCGTTCGCAAAGCCTGGCCATGGTGATGATGACATAGATAGATGTTATATGAAGTTCACAGACGTTGTGTAGTAACTCGACTGAGATCTCATTTTCGTTAAAGCAGAATCTGTCATTCTCTAGTGAAAAAGCAAGTTTTGTACAGACACAGCGTAAGTTGCAACATCATCATATAAGGTATTAACATTTCCTTTTTTTTTTTTTTTTCTTCTGTTCTTTTCCCAAAGGAAAGGCAGGCAACAGTGAAAAAAGAAAAGAGTTGTCCTCAGCAAATGAACAAACTGGGAGAACGGAACAAAATGCAAAGAGCAAATTCAGTCACCGTAGATGGACAAGGTCTTCAGGTGTGATTATTGTTGTTATTTTAATTTTAAGAAGATATTTATAGGTATGAAGACAACAATAGGAAAATATTTCCTATATATACGTTCGTCTAATACTTCACTATGAGAATTTAAAAATATGACAATAAGATAATTTCTTCCATGTGTACGGAATTTCCATTTACAGGGGTCCTCTGTTTCTGATATGGTTGATAAGACTTCCTAAGACATTAAGGTGAAAGAGTTACTAGCTCTGTAACACTTGGATTGCAGAGCGAGGATTAAATTGATTGTTTTAGTAACTGTCGTGCAACACTGTTTGAAATTACTTGATCAAACTGAACCCATGACTAGATCATTATTGGACTTTTTAAGTATCAGATAGATAATAAACTTCAAAGATACTAGTGCAGGCATTTCCAAAAAAAGGTATTTTGAACAGTTAAGGGTGGAGATAGGCAAGGCGGTCACAATAGTGGTTTTATCTATTAAAATTGAGATTTTTCTACTTTAAAGGAAACCTGATAGTATGTACCTATGTGTGAGATTGAAGGAGAAATGTTATCGTAGGGAGGTAGAGAACATCTGAAGGTCTATCTGAACTGTTAGGCTTTTTTCCTTGAGACTGTGGGTAGCTTTGAGTAGTGCACATGTTCATGTATGTGATGCTTCTTGATTTTCTCAGAAGTAAATGATCATCATGATAACAATGTGATAATCATTTAATATATATTGTTGACTGCTCTCTGTATCTTTTGATGTGCTGGAACTGAGATTCAGTAAAATGCCAGAGATTCCACAAACATAGATAAAATGCTGAACACCTCATAATTATTTCATGATCCCCCTGTTGTGTCAGGATAGAGAGGCTTATTGTATTATTTCATCTTTTTTGATTCATGAAATATTCCTCTTATGATAACTCAAATGAAAAAAAAAAAACTGCAGTCACATGACTGCTCCATTAATGCCCTATCAAGATATCATAGTGATCATTTTCCAAGGCTCTCAGAGTTGTCTTCCTGAGGTTGCTGTCTGCCCAGGTTGCAGTAGTATTCAGATCACCTGTGAAAAGTGAAGCATGAAGCAAAAAAGTGCAGATGTTTATTGACAGAATGCTGCTTAAGTTATGTATAATCACAGTGTGAGGAGCTCTAATACATGGGTGCTACTGGAAGCATGTGGAGAATTGTGTAGATCCAAGAACAGGCCTGTGCAATTCCAGTGAGCAGAAGTGCCCCAGATACTGCTGGTATCTGCTTTCAGTAACAGCGCCATTTTTACTTTACTAGGATTAGTTTGCTTATGTTTGCATAATTTTGCAGTATATTTGAATAAAGTTGCAGTATATTTTCAGGAACAAAAGTTTCTGTGGCTGATCAAAATGTGATACTGTAGTTCTACCATAGCTGGCCAAAGTACAATACTCAAGTACTACTTCAAGTGTACATTAAGCACTAATATATTGTTGGTGTCTTCTCATTTGAGCATGATATCCGGTGATTTTAGACCACAGAATTTTCATATTTTTGAAACCTTGATTTAATCAGAAAATATAATCTCTTTAATCAGATCATGAATTTCATTTGGTTATGATTTAAGATCCCAAGATACAGTATGAGAGATATGTGGGAAATCCTCACATAAGTCCTGTGAGACTTCTGCTTTAAATATGGATTAAGATATATATAATTGGTTTCTGCTTAAAAAAAAAAAAGGAAAGAAAAGAAACATATTATATAGGTTTTGTCACAACAAATATAAGTTATTTTCTAATAGTTTCATGAAGATTCATTAAATTATCTTAGATCAACACCTGATTGACTAAGATTCACTAACTTAGTCTAATTATTAGTTTTCATTGTCAATTATATGGAAATGTCTACATTATTTAGAAAACTAATTTAGAAAAGCTTTAAGAAATTAATTGAAAGAGACCTTATTTTGGCATAAAGTAAAATACAAACTGGTTCCTAGATTTTTTTGACAATCCTAGACCACCTACCTATAATGATAGGGTTAAGCTTTGAAATAAAACATTTTTAAAAAATAAGTTTGTCAGATATAGTTTTTGCTGAGAAAAGTATCAAGACAAAACCTTCCTTCCATCAGAGTGTGGTGTGCACATAACTCAGTGGCTGTGAAGATCTGCACAACTTAGAGAAGACAATTAATCATAGTTAAGCACATTCATCTTACTTCTTTCTAGCTAACCAGCATAATGATCAGGATTATTATTTCTAATTAGAGGAAGTAATAGATCATGTATAACCTTAGGATGAGTCTCATTAATTAACCTGCGTCCTAAGGGATTTTAGTAGGTAGTCCATCTCTGTCACAGTGAGCACCATTGGTTTACACTTAGTTCACAGGAACAAACATCTGGTGAATTGGCTAAATAACTAAAATTGATTAAAACAGTAGATAAAAATTAAAGGTATGACAAATTTCAATATGTCCTGCAATTTGATAGCTTATGTGTTTCACCTATAGTACTGTACTGTAAGGATGTACTGCAACAGAATCTTATGCTCTGTTGTTTTTTGTCTAGGTTTAAATCCACTGATTTTGCTAAAGTTTTCCTAATTTTGTTGTATGTATTGGATAAGAATTGGACTCATTTTTTGTATAACTATTAATAGGAAAAAAGGAGTTTCGGATATATAAATGATTGACAAACTAACCTCCTTAGTTTCAAGTTCTTTAAGTTCTGCCTTAAGATATATTTTGTGCAATCTTCAGCTGAAAAGACTCTGCTGTTTCAGGAGTTATGAGTAAGGATTTGGAGTAAGAATTTTCAATATATATCCCCTTTGAAACAGAGACAATCTAAATTCTTAGTGCATGACTTTGGAGGTGTTGACTTTGCATTCTTGATACATTTTTAAGTATTTTAGAAAGCTGATATGTGGCTAAAAGAGTGATACTGCTTTCATATGAATACTCTATGATTATAAACAGGTATTAGAGGTAACCATCTAATGTCAAGTTTTTTATATTCTTCATAGGCAGTGGAGCAAAAGGAGTGAACACTCACATCTTAGGCATTTAAAAATACCTAAGGAAGGTGTTAGTTCAACAAGACTAAACATTATTTTGGAATGTAATACATTCCAAACAGAAGAGAAGGACATGGTAGAAGGCATTGTCTCCTTCAGTACAAGTATTTCTTCATCCTTCTCCCTATTCTTTTCCTCAGATTTGTAACTTCCGCATTTTATCTCCTATCTTTTTTTCAACTTCCCAGCTGTCCAAGCTATTTAAAGGAGCTAATTATTACTGATTGTTAGGTTTTTCAGACTCTGTGATTTCATCATTTCAAGTATTGCAGGTTTCTGTCATTGAAAAATAAATAAAAAATATTCTTGTGTTTTTGAGATTTTCCTCAAGTTAAAAATTTAATATAACTATATATGATTTTTATTTTCATTTCTCCTGCTCCTCATGACAAAATATGTTTTCTTCATAGCTTTTTGGCATAGGAAGTTACTCTTTTGTCAGAATTAAAGTTATATATTTCTTTGATTGATTTTTTTTTCCCTATTGATGGATATAACCTATATATATCAGTATTGATTTCAACAGAATTACATGTTAAAATGGCATCACAGATGTAAGACAGACAGCTAGCATAAAAAACCATAAATGTCACATAATTTGTGAGAAATTAATGAAGTGAGGATTATTGCAAGTTGCGGAATTACTTCCAGCTGGATTACGTAGCACAACATAGAGTTTGCATTAAGCCTTTTGTTTTTTGTCTACTATAGGAAAAAAATGAAAACAACACACAGCATTAATGAGTGGCTGTGTTATTCCCTTCTTTTAGATCACTCCAGTTCCAGGCACTCATCCACTTTTAGTTTTTGTCAATCCTAAAAGTGGTGGGAAACAAGGTGAAAGGTAAGAGCTTTTTTTTGTTTTTGGTTGTTTGTTTCCTATATTTGATCTGTGATGTGTTTAAAAATCTGAAAAGTTTAGACATGAGAAAAAAATCCCAAATGTAGTGCATTTTATAATGATATGCGTTGCACTTGGACATTCCCATTACGCTGATTAAGATAGGTGCACGTTACCATAAACCCTGCAATTAAAAACTAGAGAGAGTTCCATGCGTGTGCGTTATTTCACTTTGGAAAGAGTAGCTATACTTACTGCATGGTTTTGTACAGTTTACACAAAGACATGAATTGCTATATTTTGCACTGTGAATTTCATGTTGTAACAGTTTTAATATCTCAATTATGCAAAAAAGGCCTTTAAAGACAGTATTCTGCTTTCTAATACATAACCTTTTGTAAGGTAACTTACTTTGCCTTACTTACCTTCGTAAGTAAGGCTTTCAGCCTTGTAGATACGAGGGGGACTAGATAGGAAGCATTCTAACAATCAAGTTAGAATATCAAAATCTAATCTCATAGACTTTAAAGAGACTGCATTTTAAGTATGTCAGCAGAGATATTAATTTGAATTAAAAAGGCTATATGTTTTGCTGAAATGCATCGGTGTAGCAATAATAAAACAAAGGCAAGGACCTTCTCTTTCCTTGTTCTACAAACTCTTTTCTTCAAGATTTACTTCAGACTCACAAGTGATAATAATAGCGTCATTTTTGGTCTAAACTGATATCCTATTAATCATGTGAATCCCCTGATTTTTAGACTATCTTTAAATGCCAGTGCTGTAATTTATTTATTTTATTTAACATTTTTTGACCAATTTCACTCTGAAGAGGGTGTCTGTGGACACCAAGCAATGCGAATACCCAAATGCACAGAAGGAAGGATCTAGTGTAATTTTGAAGAGTGTCAACTCTCCCTCCCTCTTCCTTGCTGCCCCCATCAGATCATTTCTTTCAAACAGTGTTTCCTCATTTAGACCAAAAGGGCACACGATCCTGCAAGGTAGATGTTAGGGCAATATCATAACTCAAAAACATTCAATCCAAACTATGCTCAAAGTCCTTGGAGAGAAGGGGTTATCACTTAGGAGTGGGTTCTGTAGTCTGCAGGCTGATATACCTCGTTATCACCCTGTCAAGAATGTTTATTATGTCAAAGGCATATGACTGACCTAAAAAAATCAGCATAAACCGTTTCTCAAGATCATGCCTTGCAATTATGATAATACAATGTGAGACAACAGTTGAGACTGTATGGTTTTGTATGGTGAGCATTTGTAATACAAACAGCGTCATGTGAGGTACACCGTGGAAGGGAAAGTGCTCGCACGCAGCTTGCCTTGTTTTATAATATACTTACAAAGTCAGTAGGTCAGGAATCCAATTTGGGAATATGTGTGTGAGAGGTATGTTAGAGAGCTGCACGTACATGGTTGGTGATAACACAGAAACAGTTTAAAGGAAATGCTGTTTCACACTTTTATTTCCTAGCTCAGAATTCATCCCAGATGTTACTAGCTGAATAGGCTTAATGAGCATGAGGGATGTCATTTACTGATGCATATTCTCTTGTGTTAAATCAAGTTTAAAACCTGATCCCCAACTCAGTCTCTTGTTTTCATTCACATATAGCAGTCTGGCATCTCTCAGTTTATGTTAATGCAACTGTTAATGGGGCCAAACAAGTCACAGAAAAGATTTGATTTTTTAAAAAATAATGCCTTCAAAAATATGCATGCGTGTTTTGTTCACTAACACCATTACCAACAAGCATCATTACACAATAAAGTGGGTAGTACGAGGACAGCAGCAAGCAGCTGGGTATAATGAAGTATAACCTCTTCAGTTGTCTTTGATGTCACAGAAAATAAAATGTTTAACTGCATACAATTTTTCAGGGCTGCATTCAAATTTTATGTTAGCAGGAATATGTTGAGAACCCTGCTACATACCCATGTAGACATATCTCAAGCCAGTGACCATCAGGAGATTTTTTTAACTCATGATTTCAGGTAAAACTAGATTTTAAAATGGATCAATAAAAAAAAAAAAAAAAAAGAAAAAAAAGAATGCTTTTCCATGTATGGAATATTTTATTAAAAGGGGGTTTGCTGTCTGCCTTTTAGGTGTTGACATTTTGTATTGATTCCAGTAACAAAATAATAAAATAAGGATATGAAAATCACATATTACCTGGAAGATTTAATCTAAAGTATGAAATCACTTCCAGGGAACAATAGCAGCCTTTTTTTTTTTTTATATTTATAACTTTTCTTGGTTTTTACATATCTGAAATATGGTCAGTAACCAAAAAGAGAGGAAACTCCTGGAGTTTTGTGACAGTTATATATTGTGAAAAGTAAAATGAAAGGATGTCTGAAGACATAAATAGCTTTGCGAAATGCACAGTGATGGTGATTCAGGTCAGACTCTCTACTTACAGTAATTTTGCAATCTAGTCAGGTATTGAGAAACTTAAGAATAGAGGATAGATTAGAACAAAATCAAAATTTCCATAGCAGGGGTGGTGGGAGAACCTACTAATTTTTGTACATGAGAATTTCATTATCTTGGCTCAGCCGGATTAAGGTGATGTTTTAGTGGGAGCTGTTCTTCAGTCTTTACTTAAGATTTGCTATATTTGAGGGATCATGATGAATGAAGTTATGATTACTAATTGACTTTCATTGAGCACAGAAAGGTTATTGCAGATATTGTCAAGAATCCAGTGTTCCCACAGTTCCCCTGTATGAGACTTTATGCCTTGCCATATGGTAAGCCAACTCATTTCAGTGCCCTTAGATTTGGAGAGAGTGCACGCATCTGTCTGACACCAAATTGAGTAAATGGCTTCACCCAGTAATAATTTTCTCTTTTACGTTCATATTTTGCAAACCTTTTCAAATCTCTCATATGGAAAGGAAAAGAACAGAGGATCAGTGACTTTAATATAAAGGAAGGTAGATACTTTCGTTTTTGAGTGTTACAGCAGAGGGATAGCGGGAAGCATAAATGCATAGTCAGAAAGAATGCGTTCAGAAGATAAAAGTAGTTCGCGTTGGGAACATCTGTGTTCTCTACAACCATATCTAGGTTATCGATGTTTTAAAATTTGAATTCTCTTAAGAAAAAAATGTTCTGCAAAATGTGTGTAGCTTTCTCTTCTTAAAACTAATGGCATGGTTTTCAGATATATTACAAAATAGAGTACTATGAAAATAATTCAGTCATGGTATCTTCTCAAATGGAGAAATAGGTACCTATTGCCTACCACTTGCAATGCAAATTCATTTAAACATTTTGATTTGTTCTTAAAGGATTTGCTCCAGTGCAGATATGATAATAACAAATTTAAAAAGAGTATAGTTTAACATGTGTTAAGCAATAAATATCAGACTAGAATTAAAATTGATGGATTTTACCCCTTCACAGACCAAAAATAGACTAATTAAAATGGGATTGGATAGGTTCATTCAACCCAATCAGGTGTCTTCTTTGGGCTACATTACAATTTAACATGTGTTCAATAATTGTACATAAAATAGAAATTTAAGCACTTGCTAGTATATCTATCCAGAAAAAAAAAATGACAATATTTCCAATTCCTATGGAATGCCAGTATTTCCATATCCTTTGGAATGTCCTAGAGCTAACATTCCTGCATGTTTGTCTCTAAGATCTAACTTGTCAAGATAGCAACTGTAAATTATCTGTGAATAAAATGTACATAATTGCTACATAATTGACAATACAATTTTTTCAGCAGAAAGAATATGCAACTGGCAAACGGTTATGGCATGTAGTGCTTCTAAAGGCTGTTATTGTGAAGGGTAATGTTTCTCACATAAGAGTACTACTAAATCACATTGCTGTTTTGCCACACTCATTACTTTTTTACTTTCCCCTTCCCCATTTTACAATTTATTTGCCTGACCAGCAGGTGAGCTTAAACAATTGTTTCCTTGGCAAACGTGCGGTTGGATGCACTGGAGATCAGCT